GCATTCTTTTTCTGTCACGGAGTAATTTCTTTCCGCTCCATTTAGGGAGCGACTTGAATATGAAATTACTCTCTCGCCTTGTTCTGAATACTGGGTGTTGTAAGGATATTTTCTCGGCCGGGGTACAGATCTCAGTCGAGTACCAGAGTCCTTTAAAAGAAAATTAGTAACTCACCGAGACACCAGACTTGGGGGTTTCGTTCCACAAGGAAACGGGTGATTTCGAGGGTCGAGTCTTCACCGGAGGCGAGGGAGGAAGGATACGCAGACGACTTCTCCAATACGGAATGTAATCCTCGGGCTACGATGTGTGTTTCGTGTCTGGGTCGAAAAATCCACCGGGCTGGACCTTCGGGCGATGCCAAGCCGGGAGACTATACAGCGGGCGTAAGAGCCCTTTTCGCGGCGGGGCGGAAAATTTACGGGGCTGGATCTCCGGGCGAGGCCAAGCCAGGAGACTATACGGCGGGCGCGAGTGGGTTCCGTACGCGGGAGCGAGACGGCACGGTTCGACAGACCCGGCGGGAAGGGTGTCCTCGCTCGGATCTCTAACTACGACCAACTGGGGGTAGACTCACTATGGTTAGCTAGGAGTCCGATCCGGCGGGAAGGGTGGCCGCGCTCGAATCCCTAACTACGGTTAGCTAGGAGTCCAATCCGGCGGGAAGGGTGTCCGCGCTCGAATCTCTAACTACGGTTAATTGGGAGTCGGATCCGGCGGGAGGGATGTCCGCGCTCGAATCTTTAACTACGGTTAGCTGGGAGTCAGATCCGGCGGGAAGGGTGTCCGCGCTCGAAACTCTAACTACGGTTAATTGAGAGTCGGATCCGGCGGGAGGGGTGTCCACGCTCGAATCCCTAAAAGTACAAGAAGATGGGAGGCGTCTGCCGGACTGAACGGGAAGGGTATCCACGTTCGCGTCCAAAGCAACGATGGGAACGGGGTTAGGTGAGGTTAGATTTAGATTTTTTATTTTTATCTCAGTCTACGAAAGGAGAACACACGGTTGCGAGGAATAATTTTAGGTACTCTCTACCATTTATTTTCATATATCCTTTTCCGGTGTTCGAGCATCTATTAAGAGTATTTCGTAGGAGACAAAGAGTGTGCTTAATGCAGTTTTCTACGCTCTCGAGACGTCCCAGCAGCACAAAAGACGAATGCCAAAATCCGCCGAACCACTCTTTGGCAAGCGGTGTTCGGTGCTGTTCGGCCTGTGTCTTTGATTTTTATACCTTGAAGAACCCTAAAATTTTGATATAACTTAACCTTCGTAATTTAATTAGTTTGTTTTGATATCTAGTGAAATTTCTTAAATAAACCTAATCTTGAAGTTACTTCAGTTGTACCTATTTTTCTCTTGTCAAATGAAAGTCCCCAGAGCGGTAGACGCTCAGCATTGACAACTTAGCATTTGTCACAACATTTTTGGTGGCCCATGAGGGGAACCATTTGATCATAACTTCGTGATTACATGTGAAATTAATTTTCAACAGTTATCTGCCCATAAATTGGCAAAAGTGGTTCTTTGTGTGTTCATAAAAATCTAAAGGTTCAGTGCCAGCACGCACCCAAAAAAGAGTCCGCCAAATACCAAACCTAATTGGTACATAGACGCCGTTCTTAAGTTACCGGCGTCTCTTTCTATACTTTGTGCTTTCGTCGCTGGACCGCTAGAAGCGCAGCGGCAGTGATTCGCTAAATAACGGCGTCTCTTTTTCAACATTTGCCCCGTTGGATGAACGGCCGAGTGCAACGACCACATACACCCACGTCACTTCGCTGGACCGCTGGAAGCGCAGCTGCAGTGACAAGCAAATCACCGCCTTGCTTTCGCCTTTGTCGCTCTACTCTGCCTGGCGGACGACAACAACAACAAACGTTAAACGCTAACGACTGCGAAACACAAGGTGTTCTTTCACAGAAAGGGTGAGTGTTTTGTTATTTGCATGCTTGTATGTTGGTCATAGATTGAGTGCAATTATCTTTGAGTCAAATGGAGAAAAACGAAAGTGAACTAGAAGTCTCATTGGAGAGAGCGGGTTATGAAGATCTCAGTGCTCTTCAATTTGATATTCTTACACGATTAACACAGCTGCATACGAATTTTAAAAAAGATAGTGCAGCTCAAAAAACCAAAGCTTATTTTCAACTCCGTCGCGATAAATTAGAAGAACTTTCTAGACAATTTAATAAAAATCACCAATTGATTGTTATTTCCTAATGTCCGCGTACGCATGCGTATTTTAAAAATGCAATTGAAGATAAGTTTGAGCAAAGTTATACCACGGTTTTTTGTGCTTTTTTGGATGCCTACGATGCCCTGCTGACAACAACAAATACTGATACAACAGTTGGAGCTCCGAGCCATAATTCTACGGTGGTTTCTACAGCAGTGTCCTCAGTTCAGCTCCCTAAGTTACCGGTTCCCACTTTTTCTGGCAAACATACAGATTGGCCAGCATTTTTTGATGTATTTTCACAGCTTATAAACGAGAATACGGCACTTTCTAGCATTCAAAAATTCCCATTTCTTAAGCAAGCTTTGCCAGGGGATTGCGATCAGGATGTCCAGCAAATGGATTTGATGGAAGCAAACTATGCAGTGGCCTGGAATCTCCTCGTTAGGAGGTATAATTTTCCTGACGTATAATACCCACCCAGACTACACTGACCATTACATAGAATTCCGTGACTTTAGAAATATAAATTACAACCGCCTTGCCTATGATTTCGATTCAATAAACTGGAATTATATTTTTTGCTTAACGTCTATTAACTGTCAAATTCAACAGCTGGAAACGAACATCAACTACTTATATAACAGACACGTACCACTTAAAAAGAAAAGAGTAAGGCTGAAAGAAAACCCTTGGTTCAATACTGACATTAGGATGGCAATAGCAAAACGAAATAAGGCATTTCATAAATGGAAGAGATATAAAACTGAATCTCATTACAGCGTCTTTGCTAAATTAAGGAAAACCGTCACCAAACTTATTAGTTCGGCCAAGAGAAACTATCTGAGTAGTAAATTTGATAACGCAGCGAACACCAAGCAGACATGGAATCAAATTAAAAGTCTAGGTATAGGAAAACAGAAGCACGCAATAATAGAGAATATAAATGTGGAGGAGTTAAACAATAAGTTCCTTAGCATAAATGTACCTGAAGCATCTGAAAATATATATCTGAACTACCCCCCAACTCATACCTGTGATACTAGATTTAATTTTATATGTGTCAGCCCAAGCGACGTATTATCAGGCATCTGCAGGATAAAATCTAACGCCGTGGGACTGGATGACCTAAGCCCTAAATTTTTGAGAATCCTCACTCCCAAAATCTTGACATATATAACCCACATTTTTAATACAGCAATAATGACATCCACTTTTCCTGATGCATGGAAAGCGGCTAAAATTATTCCTGTACCCAAAGGACGAAGCTGTGAGTTCAGGCCTATATCGATTTTGCCATTTTTATCGAAGGTGTTTGAAAATGTAATGGCTACACAAGTGAACAAGTTTATTTCTGAAAACAAATTAATAACCGATCTGCAATCAGGCTTTAGGAAAAACAAAAGCTGTACCTCGGCAGTCATTAAAATATCCGAGGAAATTAGAGAACACCTAGATAAAGGCGAAGTCACTATTTTAACACTCCTTGACTATAGCAAAGCGTTTGACACTGTTGACCACTTGATACTTTGCACAAAGCTTCGTTCACTGTTTTTCTTCTCTGACACGGCAATTAAACTTCTTTCGTCATATTTGAGTAATAGATGTCAAGCTGTTGTAACGTCTACTTGTTCTTCGTCTTTTAAATATGTGAAACGTGGTGTACCTCAGGGCTCTGTTCTTGGTCCTTTGCTATTTGTGATGTATGTCAATGACTTAGTCAATGTTGTGTGTGATGGTCCACTGATTCACTTGTATGCTGATGATGTACAAATGTATGTTAGTCGTCCACTACATCAAATCAATGAAGGTATTGAGTTTTGTAATGAGCAACTTAAAAAAATAAGTGTATGGGCAAAACAAAATGGACTTGGTTTAAACCCATCAAAATCAAAAGCATTGATAATATACAAAAATAATATCGACACATCCAATATACTCAAACTCAATGTCAATAATTCACCTATTGACTACGTGGACCATACGGCTAATTTGGGCGTCATATTTAATAAAACATTAACGTGGAACAACAATATAAATCAAGCTACTGGCAAGACTTATGGTCTACTGAGAATGTTACATACAACAAAAAACTATCTACCGACGAACATTCGGCTCTTAATTGCCAAAACCTGTCTTTCCCAACTTTAATGTATGGTGTTGAAATTTTTGCGAATTGTGATTCAGTTAGTCTCCGTAAAATCAATGTTTGCTTCAATAATATTGTCCGATATGTGTACGGTCTGAGGTTATATGACCATGTCTCGACACTGGCATGTAATATATTGGGACTAAGTATAAAAGACTATATGAACTTTAGAACTTTAATATTACTGCACAAAATTATTTATTCAAAAGAACCAGCGTACCTGTACAGAAAACTTCAGTTTGCCTCTTCAGAACGTATTAAAAACATTATAGTTAAAAGGCACAAAACATTGACCTCAGAAAGGCAATTCTTTATTCACGCTATTCGCATATGGAATCAATTACCCTCTTCAATAAAAATGATTGGAAATGATATGCTCTTCAAAAGGGCGCTATTAAGAGTTTACCAAAATACAGCATAATGAAACTAAAATTAAAAACGAAAATAAAATAAAAATGAAAATAAGCTTAAAATTATAAAAGTAAATAAAACTAAAACTAAAATTAATTCAATTATTAGATCTTAAATTCAAGCAAAGCTTTTTTAAATTTTAAATGTCTAAATGTTAGTTTTAAGTTACTTTAAGCATATATATATGTTAATTTAAATTCTATGTGACTAGGGCAATAATAAATAAGCAATAGCTTGTAGCCCTGGGAAAATAATAAAATAAATAAATAAATAAATAAATAAATATTGTATAATAATCCAAGGTTGTTATTCATGCACTATATGAATGCCCTATACGACTTGCCTGTCATCGTCAAGGAATGTTCAACGGAATTCAAGCACCTACTCAACGTCACCAATGTGTGTATAAACGAATTCAAGCGTCTCAAAATCGCAATCTCAACTTGTGACCATTGGATCGCATCATCGCGAGATGATGCACTGAAACTCCTATCAACTACTCTCCAAGCCTGGGAGCATCACCTGGGCAGCTCAGGAGAAATTCCAACCTTTTCGATGTTCGAAAATTTTCTAAACAATCGCCTTGTCAGCATCGAAATGATAGAAAGTCGCAAAGGGAACCCATCAGCAAAACCCACATCGGTCCAAAATGCATCGCATAAACCGTCATACAAGCTTCCGAACAACTCTAACAACAATAACATACATAAACGCGGCAGCTACCATACCACCAGCGGAACCAATTCCGCAATGCGTTGCACTCATTGTAGTGGCAACCACATTTTAAGGCGTTGTCCAGAGTTCTTGTCTAAAGATTGTTTTGCTCGAAAACTGATAGCGGAAAACACCAAGGTTTGTCTGAATTGTTTAAGCCCTTCACATAATTGGTCTCAGTGCAGTAGTACAAAGAATTGTTCTCAGTGTGGTCAACGGCACCACACTCTTTTACATTTTCATAGTCAGCCTAATAATGCTAGATCTAATGATCCACAGCATCAGTCAACGAGGGATTCATCCTCATCGGCAAGCTCAATTCAAGCCAACACAACTCAGCTCGTGAGTGCAATGGCCTCGTATAAGTCACCTACAGTGATTCTAGCGACGGCACTGGTTCGACTGCACAACAACATCACTGGTCAGTCTATGATAGTACGCGCTTTAATTGATCACGGCTCCGAGGGAACTCTTGTTACGGAAAATGTCGTCCAAGCCCTTGGACTAAAGCGATTCCCTGTTTCTGCTGAAATCACGGGAGTTGGCGAAAACTCAACAAATAAGTGCAAGCATCGCACGGGGTTTACATTAAGCTCATGTATACACCCTCAGTTCCAAATGTCAGTGGATACGGCGTTTGTGCTTCGCTCTTTAACATCGCCTCTGCCAAAGATGAATATCCACCTGCAAAACTGGTCGCATATCCAAGGACTCGAATTGGCAAATCCTACTTTTACGCGATCCGGTCGAATCGACTTGCTGATTGGCGTGGATGTCATACCTCAGCTCATGCTGCCTGAAGTTCGGAAGGGAGCTCAGGATCAACCAATAGCTCAGCGCACGCAACTGGGTTGGATTGTATTTGGTAAGACAAACCAAATACTTTCGCATGCCATATCCATTCGATGCCATCAGACAAATTTGGAGTCTTTGGTCAATAAGTTTTTTGAACTAGAGAAAATTCCCGAAACTCGACAGTTGACAGCAGAAGAACAATGGTGCGAGGATCATTTCAAACGCACGCATACACGTCAACCCAATGGGAAATATATGGTTCGGCTCCCATTCAAGACGCAGTTCGATTCCTCGCAAGTTCTTGGGAAATCTCGGCAAATAGCCCTTAATCGCTTCCATATGTTGAAGCGCAAGTTTCAAAAACAACCAGCGTTACATTAGCAATATTCAGCCGTCATCCAAGAGTATTTTGATCTCAACCAGATCATCGAAGCTGCAAGCACTGAGGAGCAACATCACACTCACACGCCATTGGGGCAGGTCGGTTTTGCTGTACTAAAGGAGGAGAGTACCACCACCAAATTACGCGTGGTCTATGATGCGTCTTGCAAAACTTCCAATGGCCGTTCTCTCAACGATGTCCTTTGCACAGGCCCCGCGTTGCAGACTGATCTTGGGGGAGTCATACTAAACTGGCGCATGCATCGATATGTTTTTGCGGCAGATATCCAAAAAATGTACCGATGCATAGACATGCACCGGGATGATGCCCAGTTTCAACGGATTTTTTGGCGAAACGAACAGGATCAAATTCAGGAATATTGTTTAACTACAGTGACCTTTGGAACAGCGTCGGCTCCATATACGGCAATCAGGATTATGCATCAAGTAGCTCAGGATGAAAGTGTGAGATATCCATTGGCACAACATGTACTGCAAAAGGAAATATATGTTGACGACGTTCAAAGTAGTCATGACACCGTTGATGGAGCCATCAAAATTCGAGAGGATCTAATTGCTGCACTTCAATCCGCTGGCATGTGTCTCAGGAAATGGGCATCTAATCATCCTGACTTGCTGGTTAACATTGCGCAAGAACATATGTCGAATTCAACCATTTTAGAAGTCGACAATCATGATTCAATAAAAACACTTGGTTTGAATTGGCATCCTAAAAGAGATGTTTATGGCTTTCATATAAAATTCAAAATTAGTCAAGAATTTACTAAACGAGCATTACTTTCCACAGTGGCCCGGTTGTACGATCCATTAGGATTTATTGTGCCAGTTATCACACTGCCAAAGCAATTTTGAAGGACGTCTGGAGTGTTCGTATGGAACGTACTGCTGGAGTTTCCTCGCCATTAGAGTGGGACGAAACACTTCCTCTAGATTTACGAGAACGCTGGAACGATTATATCACGAGATTACCAGATGTCGAGGCAATCCAAGTACCGCGGTGGTTAAATGTTCAGCGTAGCAGTCTAAAATCTCTTCAACTCCATGTATTTAGTGACGGATCGACCATTGCATATGCTGCGTGTGCGTATCTCAGAGTTCAATGGATGGATGATACTGTACATACCCATTTACTTACTGCACGTAGTCGCGTTACACCCACGAAGCCAATGACAATTCCGAGAGTGGAGCTTTCTGGTGCTCTGTTAGCCACCCAGCTGGCAAAGTGGTGCTGCCAACAGCTACATTTACAAGACCAAGCAATGTCGCTTCATTTTTGGTCCGATGCAATGATCATACTGTACTGGATTAATGGAGATCCAATGCGCTTGAAGACTTTTGCTGCCAATCGAGTGGGACAAATTTTGGAATCAATATGATATGAACCCCGCAGATTGCGCCACCCGTGGTCTTACCCCAACGCAGCTGGCAAATCACGATTTGTGGTGGTGTGGCCCACCATGGTTACAGCTACCGGATACGCAATGGCCAACTAATCGCTTGGATCCACCGGAGGATAACGTTGCCAGAGCTGAGCAGCGAGATCTTAAAAAATCAACACTCACTTGTACCACTGCGATTGATGAATCAATCATCACCTCATTTTCTTCCTATAACAGACTCATCTTTGTTGTGGCCTATATGCTACGCTTTGTACACAATTCCAAATCTGCATTGGCATTGCGTCGAACAGGCCCAAAAAAAAAACACAGGAGTTTCAAGATGACATGCTTCAAGTCGTTCGACTGGTGCAGCGGGAAGCGTTTCCATGTGAGATTTCTAGATTACAATCAAATAAATCCTTATCTGGCTCTAATAAACTTCATCAGTTATGTCCTTTTGTAGATCAGCAGAGTAGCTTGCGGGTGCGAGGGAGATTAAAGAATGCTTTCCACATCTCTGCTAACCAACGCACTCCGATCATTCTACCCAAGTCACATCACTTCACTGAGCTTGTGATCCGAAATGCTCATCATAATACACTACATGGAGGAATGGATCTCACACTAGCGACTATTCAACAGATTTTCTGGATTGTAAACGGAAAACAAGCAGTGAAACGAGTCCTACGTAAATGTGTTCCCTGTTTCAAACATCGTCCAAAACCAGCATCGCAGTTAATGGCAGATTTGCCATTTCATCGGGTAAACCCCCCAAAACGAGCATTTGAAGCTACTGGCGTGGACTACACTGGCGCTTTGGAAATTAAGGCATCTCGGTTTCGCGGACATCATACCTACAAAGCATATTTCGCTGTTTTCGTTTGCTTAGCAACCAAAGCAATCCATTTGGAGGCCGTCACAGGATTGTCTACCCAGCATTTCCTATGGGCTTTGCAGCGTTTTATTGGACGTCGCGGATTTTGCAGGCATCTGTACAGCGACTGCGGCACAAATTTTATGGGTGCGGATAAATCGCTTCAATTGTGGAAGAAGGAATTTGTAAAAGAAATGACAACGACTGTGCTGCCTGAATTAACATCTCGCAACATTCAGTGGCATTTCAATCCTCCACACAGCCCTAATTTCGGAGGCTTGTGGGAAGCGAACGTGAAAACAGTCAAGAGGCATCTGTTTCGTACTTTCCAGGGGGTCAAGATGACCTACGAGCAGTTGAACACAGTTCTTGTGCAAATAGAGGCATGTTTAAACTCTCGACCCTTGTGCCCGTTGACGTCCAATATTGAGGATCTCTCGGCTTTGACTCCGGCTCATTTTTTGATCGGTGATTCCATGATGTCTCTACCAAATCTCACCACAGCGGATAAATCTTTGGACTTGCAGTTTTTTGACGGCCAACGCCTGGTAAGACAGTTCTGGAAGCGTTGGAGCGCAGACTGGTTGTCACATTTACAAGCTCGCCCAAAATGGTGGCAAGTAAAACCCAATCTAAAGGTAGATGATATAGTCATCATAAAGGATGATCGATTCCCCCGGCGGAATGGAAACTTGGGCGAATTATAGAACTGCATCCCGGATCAGACAACCTCGTACGTGTGGCTTCCGTTAAAACCTCGTCAGGAATATATAAGCGATCGCTTTCAAAACTTTGTCCTCTGCCTTTAGTTTGCAGCTCAGTAGCTAAAGGTCTCGATTCATCAAATTAACGACAATTATTTTGCACATCTTTGATCCAACACATGTATGCTCTAACAAACACTTGTCTTTTCACAGCGTTTAATTGACAACAAGGGAAAACACTGGAGTTTAATACTGGGATCAGTATTGGCGGGCGGCATGTTCGAGCATCTATTAAGAGTATTTCGTAGGAGACAAAGAGTGTGCTTAATGCAGTTTTCTACGCTCTCGAGACGTCCCAGCAGCACAAAAGACGAATGCCAAAATCCGACGAACCACTCTTTGGCAAGCGGTGTTCGGTGCTGGTCGGCCTGTGTCTTTGATTTTTATACCTTGAAGAACCCTAAAATTTTGATATAACTTAACCTTCGTAATTTAATTAGTTTGTTTTGATATCTAGTGAAATTTGTTAAATAAACTTAATCTTGAAGTTACTTCAGTTGTACCTATTTTTCTCTTGTCAAATGAAAGTCCCCAGAGCGGTAGACGCTCAGCATTGACAACTTAGCATTTGTCACAACATCCGGAGTCCGCTACACCGTTTTAAACACACGTGGACCTAGCCGTACTAACCTTGACTGCCCCGTTTCTTGAATATCCAATAGAGTTTTCTCTACGATCACCCGCGAAAAACCCTGCCTGAGCTTCGTCGCTTCGAGCCGTTGCGAAATAAGCGCCCGCACGTGGTCGCGTTTGGCGTCGAAGTTTGCCTGTGCCGGCGAAAAGATCCCGAGGAGCGCACGTCTGCTCCGTCACACGATCTCGAACCAAAAAGCCAAAAAGGACCCTCTTCTCTTTCTTCCCCTTTTCTCGCGTTCGGGATTTCTGGGATTTCTTCATAGTGCTTTAGATTAAAGTACTGTCTTAAGTCGATAATCGCATCTGTTCTTTTCGAATTCGGCAATTCACTAATATTTTTCTGCAGAAATGTGAAGAGTGTAAGGATGCTATCACGGGCCAGGATAAATTCTCAGTCTATCCAGGGTCCCCTACAGAAATATTTATTATTTACGGAGACAGGCAGGACAAGGAGGCGGGTTTCCTAATTAGGTGTGTGATTCGAGGGGGAAAATCGGGGTTCTCTGCGTGCCGTGATCACGCCGGCGGCCCGTCAACCGGGCGACCAGCGGACCTGGGCAGGCCAAGGGCGACCGATCCCGTTAACCGGGTGCCGGAGCCCTACTAGGGGTGGAGGGTTATGAGCGGCCGATCCCGTCACCCGGAAATCGGCTTGCCAGCCCCGTCAACCGGTTGCTGGTGCTCCAAGGAGAAGGAGGTAGTGAGCGGCCGATCCCGTCACCCGGGAATCGGTTAGCCGGCCCCGTCAGCCGGTGGCCGGTGCTCGGACTACGAGGGAGGGGGTAGGAGCGGCCGATCCCGTCACCCGGGAATCGGTTAGCCGGCCCCGTCATCCGGTGGCCGGTGCTCCTAGCTACGAGGGAGGGAAAGATATGGGGAGAAATGGGCGGCTCCGTCACCCGGAGACCGCCCCTTACTGAAAATAACTTCAAGCCGATGGTAGTTTATATTCTTCTTATAGTTTTATTATAATATATGCCAAACCTAACAGTCCCTACTTCCCTACGCGCACATCCTGGCCACCCCGTAGGGTTGGCCCACGGCCGGCTCACCCGTTCACTCCTTGGGCTCCATGTCCACGTGCTCTGGTTGCTTGGTATTTTCCACTCCGATAATTTGCGACTTGCTGCTCCGGGATCTCAAAGACTACTCCCCGATCGGCGAACAGCGGAGGCTGTTCGAAGCTCTCGCTGCTGCTGCCGACCGCGGCAGCCGCCCTTACGCTGCCTCCGTGCAGTTGTCGACGTCCTGCTTCCTCTGCAGCTTCCCTGCACCCGCGTCTCTCTACGCGATCGTGCTCCTCTCCTCTCGTGCGTGGCTCTCCTGGTTCGGCCGTCGGCTCTGCCGGTAGTCGGCTGCCGAGAGCGTAAGTTTGGAGAGATGGTGTCGGCAATGTTGCCGGTGATGATTCCGGTGGTGTTCCCGGAGATGATGCTGGCGATGTTGCCGGTGATGATGTTGCTGGCGTTGTGTCGGCAGTGTTGCCGAAGCGATGTTGCTGGCGTTGCGTCGGCAATGTTGCCGAAGTGTGTTGCTGGCGATGATGTCGGCAATGTTGCCGAAGTATGTTGCTGATGATGTCGGCAATGTTGCCGATGGGTGTTGCTGGCGTGGCCGGGGATGGGGCAGGTGTTAGCGGCTATGTTGCCGGGGCGGGGTGGCGAGTGCGCCCGCCGGGCAACGTATGTACGGGTGCTCGCCCGTAGGTCTAGCTAAGGAAAAGAGTGCCCGTCATGGGCCTTAAACTACTAATAAGGTGCCCTCCATGGGTCTTTAACTATCCTTAGCCTAAACCTTAATATTCTACCTTAATATTCTACCT